TTATTACTCATTCTTTGAAGGTTCCAGAGAACTATTCACGATAGTGAAATAGTGGGAGCTATCCGTAAAAGAAGCTATGTCAATGAAATTTGATATTGAAAAATTCAATGGGAGAAATTTCTCATTGTGGAAATTGAAGATGAAGGACATCCTAAGGAAGATGGGTGTCTAGCGGCTATCAATGAAAGGCCGGTGGATTTCACAGATGACATCAAATGGAACGAGATGGATGGGAATGCTATGGCAAACTTTCATCTAGCATTAGCAGATGAAGTATTGTCAAGCATCGAGGAGAAGAAGACAACTAAGAAGATATGGGATCATCTCACCAAATTGTACGAGGCCACATCGCTGCACAATAAAATTTTCCTTAAGAGGAAATTGTACACTCTCCGTATGCCAGAATCTACTTCAGTGGCGGAGCACTTAAATACACTGAACACCTTATTTTCTCAACTTACATCCTTAAGCTGTAAAATAGGAGAACAAGAACGTGCTGAACTTCTACTTCAAAGTCTATCAGATTTGTACGATCAACTCATCATCAACTTGACAAACAGTAATGTCACCAGTCTAGTCTTCGATGACGTTGCAGCTGCTGTTCTACAAGAAGAAAATTGACGCAAGAACAAGGAAGACAGACAAGTAAATCTGTAACAAGCAGAAGCGTTGACAACGATGAGAGGGAGATCAACAGAATGTGGCCAAAGCAGTAGCCACAAACATGGTAGATCGAAGTCAAGAAGCAAAAAGAATTTGAAGTGCTACCACTGTGGAAAGAAGGGTCACTTGAAGAATGATTGTTGGAGTCTAAATAAAAACTCCAATCCACAAGGCAATACCGCAAACACTTCAGATGATGGAGATGCTCTATGTTGTGAAGCGTCAACCACCGTGGAAGGTAGAAAACGATTTGTAGATATATGGCTCATTGATTCGGGAGCAACATATCACATGACCTCAAGAAGAAAATGGTTTCATTAGTATGAACCTGTCTCAGGAGGATCTGTGTATAGTTGCAATGATCATGCCATAGAGATCATTGGTGTGGGAACCATCAAATTGAAGATGTACGATGGAACAATCAAAGTTGTTTGAGATGTGCGGCATGTGAAAGGCCTGAAGAAAAATTTATTATCCTACGGATTGTTGGATAATAATGCAAGCAAGATTGAAACACATAAAGAAATCATGAAGGTGTTCCGTGGAGCGCTTGTGGTGCTGAAAGGCGAAAAGATAGCAACAAACTTGTACATGCTGAAGGGAGAGACTTTGCTAGAAGCAGAAGCCTCTGTTGTCTCATGTAGTTCAGATTCTGCAATGCTATGGCATCAGAAACTTGGACACATGTCAGAACAATAAATGAAAGTCCTTGTGGAGCAAAAGCTACTTCCAGGTTTAACGAAGGTATCACTTACTTTGTGTGAGCATTGCATAACAAGTAAGCAGCACCGGTTGAAATTCAACACATCAAATTCTAGAGGCAAAAGTGTTCTAGAATTGGTTCACTCTGACGTATGGCAAGCACCAGTTACATCCCTAGGCGGAGCAAAATACTTTGTCTCATTTATTGATGACTACTCCAGGAGATGTTGGGTGTACCCTATTAAGAAGAAGTCAGATGTGTTTTTAACTTTCAAAAACTTCAAAGCACGGGTGAAACTTGATTCTGAAAATAAGATCAAGTGTTTCAGAACAGATAATGGAGGAGAATACACAAGCGAAGAATTTGATGATTTTTGCAGAAAAGAAGGCATCAAAAGACAGTTCACAGTAGCAAACACTCCTCAACAAAATGGAGTGGCAGAGCGGATGGACAAAACCTTGTTAGAAAGAACAAGAGCAATGTTGAGAGATGCAGGCCTAGAAAAATCATTTTGGGCAGAAGCAGTCAATACCGCCTGTTATTTGGTGAATCGAGCTCCATCAACTGCAATAGAGCTTAAGACACCAATGGAGATGTGGACTGGAAAAAAGCTAATTATTCAAACCTCCATGTATTTGGAAGTATAGTGTACGTGATGTACAACTCCCAAGAAATTTCAAAGTTGGATCCAAAATCCAGGAAATGCAAATTCTTGGGGTATGCTGATGGAGTAAAGGGGTATCCATAAAGAAAAGAAGACGATGATAGCGTTGAAAAATCAGAGACTACTCAGATACATATGGAAAAAGAGTTTGAACAAGGAGATTCTTCTGAAGCAGAACCAGCACATGATGAACAAGAACCAGAGAGTTCTGAAGCACCAACAACTCGTCAATTAGATCGTGTGAGAAGACGTCCCAATTGGCACTCAGATTATGTTATAGAAGGTAATATTGCATACTGCCTTTTAACATAGGACGGTGAGCCATCAACATACCAGGAGGCAATAAACAACTCAGATGCTTCACTGTGGATGATGGCGATGCAAGAAGAAATTGAAGCCCTTCATAAAAATAATACATGGGACCTTGTGTCACTACCACAAGGAAGGAAGCCAATTGGTAACAAATGGGTCTTCAAAATCAAGCGAAATGGTGACGATCAAGTTGAGAGGTATCGTACAAGACTGGTGGTCAAAGGATATGCTCAAAAAGAAGGTATTGATTTCAATGAAATATTTTATCCTGTGGTTCGACTAACAACAGTTCGAGTAGTTTTGGCAATGTGTGCTACATTGAACTTACATCTAGAACAACTAGATGTTAAAACAGCTTTTCTTCATGGAAATCTTGAAGAAGAGATTTATATGCTACAGCCTGAAGGTTTTGAAGAAAAAGAAAAGAAGAACTTGGTTTGCAGGTTGAACAAATCTCTGTATGGTCTAAAGCAGACGCTGAGGTGTTGGTATAAGAGATTTAATTCCTTCATTATGTGCCTTGGATATAACAGCCTTGTGCTTATTTCAAGAGGTCTGGTGATAATGATTTTGTTATATTACTGTTGTATGTGGATGACATGTTGGTTGCAGGACCCAACAAAGATCATATTGAAGAATTGAAGGCACAACTGGCTAGGGAATTTGAAATGAAGGACTTGGGATCAGCAAACAAGATTCTAGGGATGCAAATTCACCGAGACAGAAGTAATAGGAAGATTTGGCTTTCACAAAATAATTACTTAAAGATGATCTTGTCACGATTCAGCATGCAAGATTGTAAGCCAATTTCTACCCCTCTTCCTATTAACTTCAAATTATCCTCCAGTATGAGTCCTAGCAGTGAAGAAGAGATGATGGAGATGTCTCGAGTACCGTATGCATTGGCAGTGGGAAGTTTGATGTTCGCTATGATATGCACAAGACCAGACATTGCACAAGCAGTGGGAGTGGTTAGTCGGTACATGGCGAATCCAGGCAAAGAGCATTGGAATACAGTAAAGAGGATCCTGAGATACATCAAAGGAACCTCAAATATTGCATTATGTTACAGAGGATCAAACTTACTAATCAATGGGTATGTAGATTCTGACTATGCAGGGGATTTGGATAAAAGCAAATCTACTACAGGATATGTGTTCAAAATTGCTGGTGGAGCTGTAAGCTGGGTTTCAAAATTGCAGTCAGTTGTGGCTACATCCACAACAGAGGCAGAATATGTAGCAGCTACACAAGCCAGTAAAGAAGCAATTTGGTTGAAGATGCCATTGGAGGAGCTTGGACACAATCAAGAGTATGTCTCTCTGTTTTGTGACAGTCAAAGCGCATTGCATTTAGCAAAGAATCCAGCATTTCATTCAAGGACAAAGCACATACGAGTTCAATACCATTTCATTCGTGAAAAGGTGGAAGAAGGGATAGTAGATATGCAGAAGATCCATACCAAAGACAACATAGCAGATTTCATGACAAAGGCGATCAATGCTGATAAATTTACCTGGTGTCGATCCTCTTGTGGCCTGTCAGAGACGTAAGCAACATGATGGTACAAGGTAGAAAGAATGGTGTGCCATACAAAACCCCTTTAAAAAAACAAAATATGTTTATGATCTGAATAAATTAGAATTTATATCAGATGGAATCTAAAACATATATGAATGAAATCTGTAAGCTAAATGACAAATAAGAAGAGATTTGGTGTATGGATTGGATGGATGGGTGTGAGGCATGCAAATCTCGCATATGTGGGGCTTCTTTTTATGTATAAATCCAAGATTTATTTAGTCTTTGATAGATTCCTGAGATATGAAGTAAAAATCTCAATCTAACCAATTTAATCAAAATTACAGCACACTGTATAGTCAAAATCATTAATTAATTAGCTTAAACTAATAACAACTTCAACGTTAAGGAAAATCAGGGTCAAGATCTTTAATTCGTACTTTTTAGAAAAGTAATGCAAAATTTGAGATTTTCTATGATAATATGAAAACTAATTTATAAATTATTCGACCCTAAATTTAGTTTAGATTTGAATTTCTAAAGTTATATATTTATCTCTACACCAACAGTTAGAATCAATCATAATTTAAAGAAATAATGATATGACCATTTCTCAAAATATATTCTTGTTGATTGTGGGATGAGATAATGTTATATTCATAGCGGGTCACAGAATATAGATGATTTTAAATTTTATACCGACGTCAAATCGTAGGACATGGATAAAAATGAAAAATTCTTGATAAGAACAGGAGGGAAATGAATAATCTCGCATAAATAAATGTAAGATTTTATGTTGGAGACGAATTTATAAAATTTTAAAAGAATAAAAACATATTATTAATATAAAATACTTAAATTATTTATAAAAATTTAAATTTTTTAAGAAAACAAGCTTCTCGTCAACCTTTTCCTCAATTCATAACATCTTTAAATATCTGAATTGAAAAAAAATCATTTTAAAAACAATCTAAATTAATTAATGTGGGAGAGTAGGAAAAAATAAAATAAAGCCAAAGATCCATTATTTGAATTTAATAAAATAAGATTATAAGCAAGCAATCAGCTCACGTTCTTTAAATGCATGCACCCCAATTCCTATAAATACCCCTTCCCATTCCCTTCACTTTTCCTACCCAACACTTCACGAAAATAAATAGAGTCGATTCCCCTCAAACAAACCATGCATTCTTATTCTTCTTCTTCAGCTTTGCCTGTAACTTTAGTCTCAAAAACCATGATTTTCCCAGACCAAAATTCAAGTCTCGGTGACCTCAAGCTCTCAGTTTCGGATCTCCCCATGTTGTCTTGCCATTACATCCAGAAAGGTTGTCTCTTTACTCGCCCTTCCATCCCCACCGATTCACTCATTCCTCTCCTCAAACAATCCCTCTCCAAAACACTTTCATTTTTCCCTCCCCTCGCTGGCCGTCTTTACACTGACGAAAAAGGTTACATTTACATCACCTGCAACGACGCCGGCATCGAATTCCACCATACATCGTGTACGAATTCGTTTATCCGTGACATCATTGGTCCACTCCATGTTCCGCAGTTGGTGAAGAGGCTCTTCTGTTTCGACAAGACGGTGAGTTACAATGGTCATCTTAAACCAATCATGGCCGTCCAAGTCACCGAGCTGGGCGACGGAATCTTCATCGGATGCTCGGTTAACCATGCGGTGACAGACGGTACGTCGTTCTGGAATTTCTTCAACACCTTCGCTGAAATTTGCAGAAGAATTAGTGATGATAATAATTATAACCAGAGCATTGACAAAATCATGCGGCGACCGGATTTTACTCGGGACTCGGTTCTGATTTCGCCGGCGATTTTACAAGTCCCGGAAGGAGGACCCAAAGTTACGTTCAACGAAAACGAGCCGTTAAGCGAGAGAATTTTCAGTTTCAGCAGAGAAGCCATTTTGGAAGTCAAAGCCAAAGTTAACAACAGCGACGTTAATGGTGACTTTAACGCCGTTGAAATTCTCGGGAAGCAAAGTAACGACAAGTACTGCACCGAGACGGGTCCGGTTTCGGGAACGGTGTTGTTTTCGTTGTTTCAGTCACTTTCGGCTCTCCTCTGGCGAGCTGTGACACGTGCGAGGAAGCTTCCGGCATCCAAAACGACGACGTTTAGAATGGCGGTGAATTGCCGTCCCAGACTGAACCCGAAGCTGAACCCTTTGTATTTCGGGAACGCGATTCAAAGCATTCCAACGTACGCGTCAGCGGGTGACGTCACGTCACATGATCTGCGCTGGTGTGCGAGGCAGTTGAACGAGAGCGTGAGGGCCCACGACGACAAAACGGTGCGCCGTTTTATCGATAACTGGGAGAAGGATCCGCGGTGTTTCCCGTTGGGGAACTTCGACGGCGCATCGATGACGATGGGGAGTTCGCCGAGGTTCCCGATGTACGACAACGATTTCGGTTGGGGACGGCCGTTAGCGGTCAGGAGCGGCGGCGCTAACAAATTTGACGGCAAGATCTCGGCTTTTCCGGGACGGGAAGGCAATGGGAGCATCGATCTGGAAGTCGTTTTGGCGCCTGAAACTATGGCCGCCATTGAATCTGATGTTGAATTCATGCAATATGTAATGAATTAATTTTCTGTATTTTAATGTCTTTTCCCCTCTTTTGTTGAAATAGTCTTCTGCTTCGAAGTTTGAACCTTTTAATCAGTAATTTTTTCCCCAAAAATGTTGATAAACTTCGACAGAGAAGTTGCAGTGACAGACAATGTTGAAATATTGGTCAAATGATGATTTTGGTTCTTTTCTATGATTAAATTCAAGATTCAGTCCTTATATTTTAATATGATATATTTGATGCATGAATTAAGTAATTTTAGTGGTTAAAAATTATTATTATTATTTGAAATCCTACATTCGAGTATTATGTATGTAAAGGTATGAATGTTTAATATAAAATATTGAGAGTTTTTTAATATATATTACATTTTATTCACTCAGACTAATAAAAAATATATGACATATTTAATCTTTTTAAATTTATAAATGAATCCCTTATGTATCCAAATACAAGCAGAAAAATTCAATATTTGAATGATAATAATCCCATGGTGTATTCATTCTCAAATCCCAAATAAAAAGTTTTTTGCATTTTGGTACCAACAAGTGTATGATCAATGAGCCCACTAGCAATGGCAAATGACCACAAAATGAAAAGTAGATATTCCATTGTTGCATTGCCAGGTGTGTGATCATAAAATGGTTTCTCAAAACCTAAAATGCAACATGCTGAAACAACCTTTTGAGACAATGCAGTGAATGTTAGGTCCAATGGAATGAAGATTTTGGACATTTTTTTGCAAATTGGGTCCCTTGTGATTAGCCTGCAATGCCATTTGGACCACCAACACTTTTGGTATACATGGGATTATCTTCCATAATCTTGCCTAAGATAACTATGGAGGAATCGTTTAATCAATTTTGATGCGAATTGATGATGTTGACGTGGATATAATAAAATATTAATATTTTAATAGAACATGATTTTTAAGTAATTTTTTTAAAATAATTGTAGTCGTGGCAAATCATGATTGGTTATAATGTTGAAATGTAAGTAGCCGTGTCCATCTTTTCGGCTAACCCGAGTTGAGTCCTGGTAGGCTCGACATCGGTTCTGGACCATCGACCATTGGTTAACAGAAATTAACTCGGAATGAGGATCGCTTTACCACCAAAGTGTCATGGACTTAGCCTAGTTGGTTCAGTTGCTAATCCGTGTGGCACTCGAAAGGGACGCTTCCCAACCAAGTCAGCCTTAATCTCGTAGATCTGATCAAGCATAAACAAACATCGCGTTAGATCTTTATAGCCACATGGTCCTTCGACCAATAATCCGAGCCCGTGGGGCATAGCGGATGCACACCTCAACCCCCGGACTTCTCCGAGAGAAAAATGTTTTATTAATAAAAGAAATATCGGGTTACAGAAGACTCACCCACACCACCGATTAGGCCGTAGGGGCGGCCCTCGATGGTGTTCACAAGACACGTACCTTTACCTGTGGATCAGCCCAAACTCTGCCGGCTGTCCACCCCCTACATATATGCGAAAACAAAATAACAGAAATGCTACCTATAGACGTTGAAATGCTCGAACAGGGGACAGTAAGTCATACCCCTACTCCCTACCTAAAACATTAAAATGCTTGAAAAGAGGACAAGCTTGTTCTACCCTGCCACTAGGCCCTATACATGGTTGGCCTTGGCGTACCTACCCGGTTGTGGCCCCATAAAAGGGACGGTCACGACAATCTCCCCCACCTAATTTGTCGACGTCCTCGTCGACTGCTTGGCCTGAAACTCTTCAATCTGTTGCTTAAATGCCCTGAGATCATACTTTCTTTCCCAAGTGTTCTCTTCCTGATCAAAGCCTCCCCACTTGACTAGATACTCTCGTCTTTGCTTTCCACCCACCTTAACAATTCTCCCTGCTAGAATCTCGTCAACATGACGTTGTGAGGGTGGTTGTATGCCGATTGACTCCCTGGCAGACATACTCTGATTATCGATATTGGGATCGGTGTGAAACGGCTTCAAATTGCTCACATGGAAGACAGGGTGAACTCTCATCCAAGTAGGAGGGTCAACTTTGTACGAAGCATTCCCCACCTTTGCTACTATTGAGACTGGACCCTCGTACTTACGCACCAAGCGACGATCCCTCTGGCGTAAAAATCTAAGTTGTTCTGGCATCAACTTGACTAGCACCAAATCTCCAACCTGAAAGTGTAGGTCTCGCCTGTTACGATCTGCGCATTTCTTCATATGCTTCGTTACTTTCTCTAAGTAAGCCTTGGCAATCTCCATATTCTGCTTCCACTCCCCCACAAAATTTGAGGCACGAGGGCATCTACCTTGAGAGGTCTCATCCACAGTGTGAGGAAGTCTTGGCTGCTGACCTGTCACCAGTTCAAAAGGGCTTTTATTAGTAGACGAACTCTTTTGTGAATTAAAACATAATTGCGCCACATCCAATAATGGAGGCCAGTTCTTTTGATTGGCCTGAATAAAGTGCCTCAGGTACTCCTCTAAGAGTCCATTAAATCGCTCAGTCTGACCATCTGTTTGAGGGTGGTAACTCGACGAAAAGTTGAGTTGTGTCCCTAATAACTGGAACAATCCTTTCCAAAATTTCCCAATAAATCTTCCATCTCGGTCACTGACTATGCTCTGAGGAATGCCCCAATATTTCACCACATGTTTGAACACCAACTTAGCAGTCTCTTCCGCCGAACAATACTTTGATGCTGGTATAAAAGTGGCGTACTTCGAGAACCTGTCCACTACCACCAAAATTGATCCCAGATCTCCTACTCGAGGCAAGCATGATATAAAATCCAAGGAGATACTCTCCCAAGGTCGGGCGGGTACAGGTAGTGGCTCGAGCAACCCAGCAGTCCTCTGTCGATCTACCTTATCTTGTTGACAGATAAGACATGTCTTGGTGTAATCCATCACATCTTGGCGCATTTGAGGCCAATAATACCCTTGTCCCAACAAAGCAACAGTACGCCTCCAACCCTGATGCCCGGCCCATGGGGTATCATGACATTCCTTCAACAGCTTCTGTCGTAGGTTTCCAGCTCGAGGAACAAACATTCGTGGCCCTTTTGTCATCAATAAGTCATTTTCTATCCAAAAACATTTCGAAACACCCTTTTTAACCATCTCCATAAGGGCCTCCACTTGCGGATCTTGCTTGGAAAAGTTCACAAGGAGCTGACGAATTTCATTGGACACTCTACTAGCGGATATAGGGGCCACACATCGGAGTGCTGCCAAATCTGCCCTGTGACTCAAAGCATCAGCAACCTGATTCTTTTTCCCCGCCTTATGCTCAAAGTTGAAGTCAAACTCGGCCAGAAACTCTTGCCATCTAGCTTGCTTTGCTGTTAGTTTCGGTTGTGTAAGGAAGTGGCTAACTGCTGTATTATCGGTCTTTACCACAAATTTGGAACCCAACAAATAATGCCTCCAAATCCTCAAGCAATGAATTACTGCGAGAAGTTCTTTCTCTGGAGCCGTATATCTCGCTTCAGTTTCATTTAGCTTCCTACTCTCAAACGCCACGGGATGTTTGTCTTGTAAGAGTACGCCTCCAATTGCATAGTCGGATGCGTCTGTCTCTACTACTAGAGGTTTTTCCAGGTCTGGTAAGGTAAGCACTGGTTCACTGATTACAACCTTCTTTAAATCGTCAAAGGCCTCTTGACAGTCCTTGGACCAAACCCACTCGCAGCCTTTCTTCAGCAAATCGGTGAGTAACTTTACTCTACGAGAATAACCTTCTACGAATCGTCTATAATAATTGGCCAAACCAAGGAAAGATCTAAGCTCACTAACATTTTGTGGGGTCGGCCACTCCTGGATAGCCTTCACCTTCTCTTTATCCATACGAATGCGCCCTCGTTCAATGATGTGGCCCAAAAATTGGACTTGTGTTTGGGCGAAAGCACATTTCTCCTTCTTTACAAACAACCGATTTTCCCGTAATCTCGTCAGCACCAACCGAAGATGCTCCAAGTGCTCTTCTATCGAATTGCTAAAAATCATTATATCGTCCAAGTAGATGACTACGAATTTATCGAGATAGTCATGGAACACCTGGTTCATTAAAGTGCAGAAAGTAGCGGGAGCATTGGTTAGTCCAAAAGGCATAACGAGAAATTCAAATGCTCCATACCGAGTTACACATGTCGTCTTTGGCTCATCCCCTTCGGCCACTCTCACTTGATGGTATCCCGACCTGAGATCCAACTTCGTGAAATACTTAGCATTACTCAGCTGGTCGAACAAATCAGCAATCAACGGAATGGGATATTTATTCCTGACAGTCACTTGTTTAATGCTCTATAATCAACACATAATCTCAAACTCCCATCATGTTTTCTCTGGAATAACACAGGTGCCCCGAAAGGTGACTTCGAGGGTCGAATAATCCTGCTTGGAGCAACTCATCCAACTGTTTCCTCAACTCTGCCAACTCCGGAGGACTCATCCGATATGGGCATTTCGCAGGAGGTTTTACTCCCGGAATTAATTCAATCTCATGGTCCACCAACCGTCTAGGGGGCAACTCTTTCGGCAATTCACCCGGCATTACATCCTCAAAGTCTCTCAGCACTTCTTGAACATTCCTGGGCACCAGGCCAGGATTGTCATCCTCTTTGGAAATTGGAAAGACTAAGAATGAGGGCTCCCCTTTTTTCACCCCTCTCTTAAATTGGATAGCGGACAATATCTTCTTCCCAGGACGAGGGAGAATCGTAGCTGGTACCACACATGGCTGCTCCCCCATGAACATTAATCAACTTGATGCCGGAACAGGAATCACCTGGGATGCCATCATAAAATCGAGCCCTAACACCACGTCAAAATCATCCATATGGGAAACAGTGAAATCTACACTTCCTTCCCAAGACCCAAGCTTGATACTAACCCTCTTCACACCTCCACATATCATTGAAGCGGCAGAGTTAACTGCTTTCATTTGTCCCACCTCCTTGGTTACAATCAACTTACATCTCTCCGCTTCCTCAGGAGAGATAAACGTATCTGTGGCCCCTGTGTCGACTAGAGCTTTAGAGGTTTTCCCATTTACTGAGATGTCCACATACATCAATCCCCTCTCTGGTTCTTTTCTCAAGTTACTCAACTGAGACTGTAATGCAGTTATGAATCGGATGGAGCCCATTCTAGCCGGCTCAGGCTCAGTATCTCCCATCGGAGCGT